AGATACACACATTAATAGAATAATTTCTGGAAGCGTTTTATGTGCGCTCCATGCCGTATCAAAAAGTCTGTATATCCCGATCGTTGCTAGGCAACGGCTCGGCAAACACATTCTCGCGACAACGAACAGCTGTTCGTCTTCTATGCGATCCGTTTCGTATGAGAGGAAAGCAGGCGATTAGTTCTTTCCAAAACTTTTCGGTTTCATGTTACAGTTTTACACCGATAGAAATAGGTGTGGCCCATAAAATTTGCGTGGTCTGGTGGCAGTATGGTTTGCCACCAACTCATGTACAGGCTCTGTGGTTAATAAGAAGAAACATCAGTCATGTGTTAACGTTTTGAGATCATGTTTTCTCAGTATGTTGTTGGGAGGTTCTCGGGTTCGATTCCGCCTACGAGTTCTCATACAAAGCTTACTGTTGGTTCCTTTGCATGCCAGTTAATGTCACTAAATAGCTATGATATAAGGGGGTAATAAAGGGCTCATAATCAAATACTTCATATCATTATGTCAGGTATTGCTGATTCTGCTCAAAATTGTTTTCCAAGTGATATATGTGGTAGGTTGTGTACATAGTTCATTCCAGGTAAGGTTGGCGGCATTGTGAAGTTCTTCAGAGCGACCGGGGGGGGGGGATGATGCCTTATGGTTCTCTTATTTGCAAGGAGGGAAAGATGCAGTATTATTTATTGCATTTTATTACAATGTCTGCTGGTGTTCATTGTGTGTGAATATTTTGCAGGATTTATATGTGTGAATGTTAGCATGGGTAAGAATAGCAGTTGTTTCTGATGCAGAAGGAAATTTCACTTCTGTCAGATCTTGTGTGCTATATATATAACACCCAAATTCAGATTGTTTAAGCATAATAGTGTAAATTACAAGTTTATATTATGCTGTGGGATTGTCGATGTTCTAAAAGACAACCACGTAAATCTATAACAATTGTACATATACGTACTAAATTATATAAATTGAATGTACAGAATAGCTGCGAAGCTATGTGGAATTTGAATAGTTGGCTGGCCCTGAAAAGGGCAATTTGTTCCACCGTGAGTGCGCTGGTAGAATTTGCTCCTTTGTAATAGACCAAGTCTTTCCGGCCGTTCAGCTGGTTTGTGTGGTCGGTAATGTGATGCTGCGTGCGCCTGTAGGAACAGCTGCCTACGGCGCGGTTGCTGGAGAGTTGCGGCAGCTGTCTTTGGCGCCGTGAATACCTCATGACTCTGATGACTGATCGCTCTGATCTGAATGTGATCACTGTTGATTACGAGCTTTTATACCATGCATGCTGGGCGGAGCTTAAACTTGCAGTTGCGATTGTGAGCGCTGATTGGCTAGCGCATGTGATGATCTACAGATGGGCTGGACATCGAGTGCTGTATAAATACGAGTGGTGGCAGCAACGTACGGCAATATGATATTGACTAGGAGTGAATGCTGTTTGTTAGATCGGCGAAACCGCGTGTTAGTATGTGGGATGTTCGTACATTACTCCCCCCTCGCGAAAATTGATGGTCATATGTTCAGGCGAGCGGGGAAATGGATGTGGCGCCCGGAGCGTGTAGTCCTTGTAGTAAACTGTGTTGGCATGGCAGATGGTCCTACGGTCGGGGTCGCTGCGGCTGGTGGATTGATGCTGTTCCCTCGGTCTGTCTCTTGTAGGATGTAGGCCGGTTTAACCCTGTCGGCTGATACAGTGACGTGCCTTCCGCGCACGAGTAGTTAGTTATTGGAGAGGGTGGGTTTCCCCATGCACTTAGACCAGTATTGGTCCATTGTGGTTCCCTCTATGATATTCTACCAGTCTCTATACCCTACCGATACTGGTGCGTACCATCAGTCCCGACCGAGCCAGCGAGTTCGGCCTCTACTGGCTTAGCGGTATCTATAATGCTTCCCCCGTCTATCAGAGGCGTTAGAGACTACTGTTGGGCGGGAAATGTCCTTGAATTTGGCTCAGTGACCTCCTTTGGAGATATGAGGTTCTTTTACGTGCCGTAAAGCTACGACACGGGACCCACGGCTTAAAGTCCCTCCCGGAGGACTTGTTCCCTGAATTTTTCCGCCCTTAAAAATTCCACGACCTCCGCCGGGTTTGAACCCGCGTACCACGAGTCATGAGGTGGGAACGTTGCCTCTAGACTACGGAGGCCGCTGCACGAGAAGTTGCAGCGTCTTCTCTCTCCGTGACAAGACCTCATAGGGGCCACTGTATGTGTTTTCAATGCCCGGTGTGTTGAGTCTTGCCGAAGGAAGACGTGGGTGCACTTCTCGAGGTCACTGTGCACAAAAGTAGCTGGAGAAGCGTGGCGTGATGCTGGGACTGGTCGGAGGCGGGCCATGTGCTGACGGAGCTCTGTGATATGCGCTGGATCGGCGGGGTCGGTAGCTGGAGTTAGTAGCTCGCCGGGGATTCTTAAGGGTTCGCCGTACACGATCAGCTACAGATGCTTGCAGGTCCTCCTTGAATGCAGTGCGGATTCCGAGGAGAACCAGGGGAAGCGTCTCAGTCCACTGTTGGTCCGCGTGGCACATGATGGCTGCCTTCAGTGTCCGGTGGAAGCGTTCCACGATTCCGTTAGCTGCTGGGAGATGGGCGGTTGTACGTGAGAGCTGGATGCCGCACAGCCTGGCCAGGGATTGGAAGAGTTGAGATTCGAACTGGCGTCCCTGGTCGGTGGTGATGGTCTGTGGGCAACAGAAGCGTGATATCCAACCGGTCAGTGGGGCGCGTGCCACTGTGTCGGCTGTGATATCCGGAATTGGGACGACTTCTGGCCAGCGGGTGAAACGGTCGACAGCAGTGAGGCAGTATGCGTAGCCCGCTGACGTCGGAAGGGGTCCCACAAGGTCGATATGGACGTGCCGAAAACGGGCTGCCGGCGTGTAAAGTCGCCCAGTGGAGTAAGTATGTGATGGGAGACTTTGGAGCGCTGACAGGACTGGCAAGCATGTGCCAAGGTGAGGCAATCCTTCTGAACGCCTGGCCACACGAATCGCTGTGCGACCAGCTTCGCTGTTGCTCTGGTGCCTGGGTGCGACAGATCGTGGACGGACTGGAACACTTGGAGCCGTAGAGGCGCCGTAACGTACCGCCGAGATCTCCCTGTAGACGTGTCGCAGTAAATGGAGACTGAGGTACCGGGGATTGGTAGGTTCTCAAGCCGCAGGGCGGTGGTTGACCCCAGGAGTGCTCGGAGTTCATCGTCGCTGTCCTGTGATGCGGCGAGTACGTCGTAAGGTGGTGGCGCAGTGACGGACTCGACACGAGAGGGCGTCGGCGACAACGTTGTCCTGTCCAGAGATGTGTCAGATGTCGGTTATGAACTGGGAGACGAAGTCCAGATGGTTGAACTGCCGGGGTGAGCATTTATCCCGCTTCTGCTGGAAGGCATAGGTGATTGGCTTGTGGTCGATGAAGATGGTGAAGTGACGCGCTTCCAGCATATGGCGGAAATGCCTTACTGCCTCGTATATAGCCAGTAGCTCATGGTCATAGGCGCTGAACTTCTCTTGGGCCGGGTTAAGTTTCTTTGAGAAGAAGGCGAGGGGCTTCCTGGTGTTCCTTATGCGTTGTTATAGTACGGCACCCATGGCGGACGTGGAGGCATCTGTGACGAGTGCAAGTGGCGTGGATGGATCCAGGTGGGCCAGTAGAGTGGCGCGTGAGAAACTCACCTTGCACTCTTCGGATGCCTTGTGGAGCTCCGGTGTCCAAGTGATGGGGTGGGATCCCTTGACTTTGGGTCCGGAGAGGATGTCGTGCAGTGGTGCCTGCATGGGGCAGAAATCGCCTGTAGAAGTTCAACATGCCTAGGAATCATCGGAGCTGACTGGCGGTCTTCGGAGGGGGACAGTCCTGGAGATGGGCCACTTGGTCTTCCAGAGGTTTGGAACCCTCGGCGGACACCTTGTAGCCAAGAAAGGTGACCTCGGGTGCTCTGAAGACGCACTTTGACTGGTTGATAATGATCCCGTACCCCTGGAGCTGGTTGAAGAGAGCACGTAGGTGTTGTTCATGTAGGTGTTGATTATGCATGTAACATGTTCATGGCTGGAAATGCTGTACCAATATTCGGATTAGCAAACATGGGAGTGTGCTAATCATACAATTCTTTTTTAATGCCAGAGACTAAGTTTCATACCCATATAGAACCACAGGCAAAATTATAGTTTTAAAAACGGTAAAGCTATTCCTGTAACATGCTGTGAAAGCCCATGGGGTTGTGAGGTATTGAGGCTTCCACATTCTCTAGACACTCAGCTCACAGATGGCAGTAAGGTTGTCAGGCTGCCCTTTGCCCCCAGGAAGATTCCTGGTACTCAGTTTTATTAGAGGCTGAGTTGACCCCAGGGCCATAATGCACCTGGAAGAATTAGGTAAATTGAAAAAATTCAGTGACCTCATTGGGATTTGAACCCGCTACCTCCCAGCTTGTAGCATAGTGCCTCAACTAACTACACTACTGCGGTCCCAAATTATAGTTTTGTGTATGCTATGTAGGATATGTACGTTCTAATTTTTATGTCTTTAGATAGCAGGTGATAAGACAGAAGGTTCTGGACTGAATGGTAGGAAGCATTACCTGAATTCTATGTAAATTACAAGTATACAACAAGAGTATTTGTTGACCAAAGAAGGGAGAAGCATATCAGCAATTTTAAACATCATTCAAAGCTGAATTTTGTGATTTGTGTAGGTTGCAAGGTTGGTATTGTTAGGAGAGTATTGTTGGTATGTGGCTAGGAGAGAAAAGACTAGGAATGCATGTATGCTTCTGATGTGGAAACCTCTTGGAAAAAATCTGCTTGCAAGGCTGAGAAAGGTTTGATAGGATTACATTAAGAGTGAGGTTAGGGAGATGGGTTTTGAGAGTTGCAGATGGATGAATCTGGTGGAGAATTATTTCCAGTGGCATATGTTATAACCCCCCCGCCCGAAACAATTTGTTTGTGTGCTCATAATAGCATGTCTTTTTGTATGACTGTTACAGACACTTCAAGTTGCAACTAATGTGACTGAACAGAAGCACCATGTGTCACGAGATAAGAGAGGTCAAATTCTTGGAAACCTCCGAGGCTTCCGGGGCTGTACAGTGTGGTTCACAGGTCTGTTAGAGTATCATTATAGAGAGGTGGCACAGCAAAATGTGCACATAGAAAGGAAATAGATAAGGTTTGTAAACTGAAAACCTTGTGGTTCTGTCTGAGCTTCTGCTTAAGTACATGTAGCGTAACATACAGATAACAGCCAAGTAACCTTGGCATATAGTGTATCACAGTTCCCACTTGAGTGGAAATTCTATGAATTGTTAGTGACGCATGTTAAATGTACAACACATTCTTTACTTATAGATCTTGTTTTACATATTTTGATAGATTTTGAGAGGCTAACAAAGCATTCTGTTATTTGATATCACAAATCACAGCAGTCATTTTATAACAAACATGACTGTTATTTTGAATGTTGTTCAACCATTTGTGCCTTTTTGAGATATGGTGAAATGGAGACTGATTCTGTTTCTGTAAGCAGGCATAGGGGGCCTAAGTTTCCCAACTCAGTTGGGTCTGTTAGGAAGAGCTAGTCCTGATCCATGGACTCAAAAATGGTGGACAGTGTCAAAATAATAATTATGTCTAGTGTTATAAATGGGTGGCAGAAAGATTCAGTTTTTATAATTAACAAAGAAGCACTAAGTAATGAAACCAGTGACTTTTCTTGCAGTTTTCAGTGTGAAAACAGTATTAATTCACAGCTGGGGCACACATATTTGTGTCAGAAGAAGCAACCTATGAAATATACATACAAATTTGTAAAATCACTTTGAATATCCTTCATATTTTTGTTTTTGAACATTATTTTTCTCAGGATTGACAACTCATGACCCACCAGTGACAGTATTTTGTGAGGAGAGTCATTCCAAAACACATCCTTAAATTTCCTGCAATCTCCATCACCTTGTACAGCTGTTATAACATTTCCTTACAGATTGCGTGTTTCAGTTTTAAGCTGTATATGAATCCATACCTTCATTCCTTATGTATGAACTTCAGATTCACATTGTCTTAATTTTAAGGGTTGATTTTCTTGTCATTTTATTTATGTTCTAAACACAAGGAATGAAACCGCAGATCAGCTGGCAAGAACAAGATCTGAACTTCCGTTCATAGGACCTGACCCAGCTTGCAGCATCTCAGTAGGAAAGTATTGCAGGGAATGAAACTGCAGATCAGCTGGCAAGAACAGGACCTGAACCAGCCTGTGGCATCTCAGTAGGAAAGTATTGCAGAGGATGAAACCGCAGATCTGCTGACAAGAACAAGATCTGAACAGCCGTTCATAGGACCTGACCCAGCTTGCGGCATCTCAGTAGGAGAGTATTGCTGGGAATGAAACAGCAGATCAACAGGCAAGAACAGGATCTGAAGAGCCGTTCATAGAACCTGAACCAGCTTGCAGCATCTCAGTAGGAAAGTATTGCAGGGAATGAAACTGCAGGTCAGCTGGCAAGAACAGGATCTGAACAGCTGTTCATAGGACCTGACCCAGCTTGCGGCATTTCAGTAGGAGAGTATTGCTGGGAATGAAACGGCAGATCAACGGGCAAGAACACGATCTGAACAGCCGTTCGTAGGACCTGACCCAGCTTGCGGCATCTTGGTAGGAGAGTATTGCTGGGAATGAAACGGCAGATCAACTGGCAAGAACAGGATCTGAACAGCCGTTCATAGGACCTGACCCAGCTTGCGGCATCTCAGTAGGAGTTGCCAAGAAAGCGATCAGGGACTGGACTAACAGAAACCATAAAAATACTCGGAATCCATAATTAGACTCAAATAGGCAAAGGGTTTTGTATCAGGACCCTCGGCCAGAAGAATGAAGGATCTGTTGAGATTAAACTGAGATCAACTAAGATGGGTGGTAGGATTACTTACCAGACACTGCCACCTGAAAGGACACCTTTTCAAGTTGGAACTGACAGATAACCCAACCTGTGAAAGGTGCCTAGATCATTGAAGGTCGGAATGGGGGGGTGCGATATTTATGGCCTCCCCTTACATACATTACATTACACTGTATTCTAAACATAAACTTTAAACTGTACTATATAAAAGCAGTCTATTGTTTCATGTGGGTGCAAAACCTGTTATGCTACTGTAATGGAAGAAAGACATGGAAATGGAAGTGTGCGGATATGCAGAAGATATGGGCTAGGAGGGGAATGGAGAAAAATACGTGAAGAGCTTCATGCTTCATGTTTTGCCTTATACTTTATGATTAAATGAAAGAGGATGACATGGACTGGAAAATAAAGGACAAAGCAAATTCAGAAGAATAAGTACAATATATATAAGCATCCAATTCTGTGATTTTGTTATCTGCCTCAGAATGCATGTGAATTGTCCATAAAACAGTTGCAGTGCATTTTATATACAACTTCATCTGAATTTTTGTCTTGTGACAGGTATTGTTGTATTCTTTGTGTTTGTATGGCTACACATGCACTGGAAACTGTTTCTTTTATTACTAGTTTGTTTATTTAATGACAGTCAATCAGTAGCTCAGTGTATAGTTTGAGATGATTAATGAATAATGAATTGCAAGGAAGCAGTTATGACTTAATTTAAGATACTGTTATGGTCTGGTGTATCCTGTGGGGGAGGAGCCAAGGCAGGCAAGTACTGCAGTAACTCTGTCCACTTGTTACAGCCTGTCACTAATGTAATCATGGTCACAGTTATGAGTTCCCAGCAATGATATCCTGGCATTTGTCTTGAGGTACTGAGAAAAACCACAAAAAAGCTCAGGATATCTGATGTAGCTGATCTCCAGGTCAAGATTTGAACCTGAGACCTACTGAGTCAGTATTGTTAAACCGCAAAGTTTACATTTGATAGGTATGAATTCATTAGTGCCATTGACGTCAGAACCTCGGTGATAGAGTAATTGGCCCTGAAACGTGAAGGTCACTTGATGCAGTTGTTAGGAATGGGTTCCTTCACCATCTTGCCCTATATTATTTTTTAAATTGAAGGTGTGTATGTGTCTGAGTTAAGCTCACCAAAGTTTTCCTGGCATCTAGAACTATGAGGCAAAATCCATGTGTGGTTTTGAAAGCATGAGTGTTGAGTGAATGCTTGTCTCTGTGTGTCTGGTATTAACTAAGTCTAGTATATAGGAAGGCATGTGACTCTATAGGAGTTTCATCCTCTTCACATTTCTTACTTGCTTTAGAATGTTTTTGTGTTTATTTAAAAGATTTTCTTTGTACAGGTTTGTCAGGAGCTGGGAAAACATCAATAGCTTTTGAGTTGGAAGCTTTTTTGGTTTCACGTGGTATCCCGGCTTATGGACTTGATGGAGACAATATCAGAACAGGCCTCAACAAAAATTTGGGCTTCTCAAAGGAAGATCGAGAAGAGAATATCAGACGTGTGGCAGAGGTTGCCAAACTCTTTGCAGATAGTGGTGTTGTCTCTCTCTGCAGCTTTGTTTCCCCATTTTCTGAGGTAACACAATTTGAAATGTATGTAAATGGTTCTCACAAGAGATGCGTTTTGGATGGTAATCATCCAGTATTTGCATATTTGAGTTGCTGTGATTTATCAGCAAGTTCTTTATAACCTAATAAAAGTGACAATGTGCAGTTACACTTCTTGGTGGCAATGAATTGAAAGTGTATTTTTTATAATCAGTTATCAGGCTCAAATGAAAAATTATGATTCATATTTTGATGAGGATAAATGGTCTTTGACATTTGCAATTTTACAATGGCTGCAATGTAATTATGTGCTAACTGATATTATAAAGGTGATTTGTCTCTTTGCTTAATTAAGCACCATGCTTTGAAGATGTAAAAGAGGGTGAAACTGTAGTTCCATGTATTCCTAATATAGGCACTCTGGATAAAGGTGAGTGTCATCTTTATACCCTGCTCACTTTACCTCCAGAAAAAAAAGAATGTCTGTTACCCACTGGACACACCCTCTTTGAGGATAAGGTACACAGTACTCCAGCTGAACAGAAATACCCATACTCCATAATTATATAATCAAAAGACACAGTAGGGAATGGTTTGCATGGGCTGTTGCACAAGGATAGTAAATGATAATGAGCCTTGTTTCGTGAAGGACAGCTTGTTTAGGTTTTGTGTGTGCGTGGCTCCACTGATAATGTCTGAACTGTATTTATGAAGCCACGGAGAACTGTCGGCATAGCGCTGTGAACTGGGTCACAGCCAGTGGTATTGAACCGGTGTTTATAAAGATAGATGTTTCGTCATACTTTGAAATTACTATTACTTAATCTGTTCATGATAAGTAACAGATACACATTATGTATTATATAAATGAAGATGATATTGTCAGATATTAGGGGTGTGACTGTTACATTGGGGTTGGATTGGAGAATGGACTTACTGACAATACTTAAGAAGTAAAGAACCATGAAATAAAAATGGCCAGTCACTTTTTCTTAGAACCATTGGTACATTATTGTGTAGGCCTGCCTGTGACTTTGCAAGTACTGTTTTCAGAGGTACTCAGTGAGAGGGGGCCATTTGGGTGCTTGAATTTAAATTTTAAATCCGCATGCCTCTCAGAGGTCTTTAGTCCTCTTCTGCTTCACTATTTGTTGCCACAAGTAGCACAGTCAGTCTTCTGATTTTATCCATGAAGTATTACATAGATTTTTTCTCCCCCCAGAATTTGAATTATATATTCAGATGTACACATCTTTGCCTTAATTACAACAAACCTGTGGTGTTTACTGCTTCCTGGCGCTATATCAGAAGTGTCAGTTGATTATAGTAATGTTATTCCTTTTGCTCTGTTTTCTCATAATCTTTTTTTACATTACATTACATTGCATTGCATTCCATGGATCCAAAGTTAGTCAGAATGACTGTAGGATGTGGAATATGTCACATAAATACAAAACATATTCTTGAGGACTCAATCTGAAGTGAGGACATATACAAGCATGGAGTGCTAAGTAAGAATTAGGAACATAGTACAATGATTGAGAGGGGGCTGGAAGACTTGTTTGCATCCCATTCGCTTTTGGATAGTCATATGTCCATGCTGTAAATGCACTTGGGTATGATAATTTTTTCGTGATCAGATTGACCATACTTTGACAAAAAGGAGGCCGCATTCAAGTGTACTTGATGTAAGATCGTACAGGGCAGCAGAGTGTGATACTGACCACTAACTATCTGGTGATGCCAAAAGTTCAGGAGAGACTGGCAGTGAGTAAACAAAGAAAGCCCAGATTTCATATGGAGAGGTTTAGCCTCAAGAAATTAAACAAGACCGAGGGTAAAGTACAGTATCAGGTTGAAATCTCAAGTAGGTTCACAGCTTTGGAAAACTTAGACACTGAAGTGGATATTAATAGAGCTTGGGAAACTCTTAGAGTGAATATTAAATTTTCAGCCAGAGAGATTCTAAGTTACCATGAACTGAAGAAGCAAAGGCCATGGTTTGACGAATGATGATCAAAAAGTGTTAGATCAAAGGAGAGAAGCCAAACTGCAGTGGTTACAGGGTCCAAGCCAAATAAATGGGGATAACTTGAACAGTGTAAGATATAAGATTCCCTCAACATTTTGAATAGGTGAAAGAACTATTTCTCTGTTATTGAATGTACACAGAGTCAGTGATATGAGTCAGAAATACATACAGCTGAGTAATCAGTGCCTGATCCTAGTCCTTCTGAGGCTGAAATTGCTCCTGCAAAGTGGAGAAGATAGAAATCATCAGGTAGTTATCAAATTCTGGCAGAATGATTCAAGCAGGAGGTGAAACATTACATACAGTCTGAGACTCATAAACTCAATAATTCTGTTGTAGTAAGGATCAGTGGAAGGAGTCGATTGTTGTAACAATTTACAAGAAGGGCAATGAAACTGATTGTAGTAATTACCAAGGAATATCACTATTATCAACTTCATCCAACATCTTATCTGATATTTTTTCTCAAGGTTAAGTCCATACATAGACTAAATGATGGAGATCATCAGTGTGGGTTTTGACATGTCAGATAAACTACAGGTCACATTTTTTGCATTCATCGTATACTGGAGAAGATGTGGGAGTACTTGAGACAGTAGAGCAGCTGTTCTTAGACTCCGAGGGAACCTATGATTCAGTTAGGAAGGAAAAGTATTGTACAGTATTCTCATAAATTCTGGGGTACCCATGAAACTAGTTAGGCTGATTAAAATGTATTTAAATGAAACATATAGTAAAGTTCATATAGGTAAACATTTGTCTGATAATTTAACTATGCAGAATGGTTGAAAACACTCCACTGCTTTTCAGCTTTGCTTTAGAATATGCCATTAGGCTGAAATGAAATGGGACTCATCAGCTGTTCGCTGGTCTATGCTGGGAGGTAACATAAATATAAAGAAAAAAACAGAAACTTTAATTGATGCTAGTAATGAGATTGGTCTAGAAGTAAATGCAGAGAAGACTGTATGTAGCTGTCTCATCACCAGAATGCAAGACAAAAATCATGACATAAAGATAGGTAATAGATGTTTGGAAAATGTGGCACAGTTCAGATATTTGCGAACGACAGTGACAAATCAAAATTTGAATCAGGAGGAAATTACGAGGAGATTGAATTCGGGTAATGCTTGCTACCATTCAGTCTAGAACCTTCTGGCTTCTTGACTGCTGACACAAGAATGGGGAAAACTGCATAATGAGAAGCTTCATAACTTACACTCTTTGCTAAGTATAATTAGAATGATCAATGAAGTCAATGAGGATGGGATGGGCAAGGCATATAGTACAAATGGGGTGAAGAGGAATGCATATAGGATGTTGGTGGGAAAGCCCAAAGGAATGAGACCACTAGGAAGACCAAGATGTAGGTGGGTGGATAATAGTAACATGGATCTTAGAGAGGTAGGATGGGGTGGTACAGTCTGGATTGGTGTGGCTCAGGAAAGAGACTAGTCATGGGCTTTCTTGTACACGGTAATGAATCTTTGGGTTTTGTAATATGCTGGGAAATTTCCGAATAGCAGCACAACTAGTGGCCTCCCAAGTGGGCTCAGCTCATTTTAAGGTTCATCAGAAGATTAATGTTCCCAACCTACATTCATGACACCTATAGAAATCCCTTTGGACAGTCAGATAATCCCATCATGAACACATGTTGTGAATTTGTTAACAGGACAGGGAAATGGCAAGAAAAATTCACAAAGACAGTGACCTTCCATTCTTTGAGGTTTTTGTGGATACACCACTGAATGTTTGCGAACAACGAGATGTGAAAGGCCTGTATAAGAAGGCAAGGCAAGGCAGCATTAAAGGTACGCTCACATTTTTGTGATGAGCATGTTTGTGAATATATAGAGATGNCGTGCCAAAGGATGAGGAGGAGTAGAAGATAATCAATAAGCAGAGTAAATTTGATAATAGAAAAGAAATGGAACATGTTAGAGGGTAATGGTCCAAGCAGGAAATGAACGCAGAAAATATCACCAGTGATACAGATACGTATGTCACATCATCAACAAAATAAATACTGTTTTCTAACATGCTTATTGATTCCATTCTGTCTTAACTACCTTACATCATGATTATTGAAAGACATCTTTGTGAACTCTTTCAAATTGTGATCTTGTGTGTCATATCACCATATAGTCTGGTAGGTGAGTATCAGCATTTTGGATGAGCATAATTTAGGAGAGAAATGCACTTTTAAGTGGCCTGTAGACCTCTCCAGTCTGAGTGGATGTGGATGCTGTTTGTCCTTCATCTTTCCTTGTTAATTTTGAGGACAGAATATAATTCATTCATTCTATTATGTGTATCATCACTGAGATATATATTTGGTATCATGTCCTGATGACAGTTCAGTGACTGGAACTGTCATCAGTTTTTTTCACAGTCTAAAAATTACTTTTGAGTTTAAAAAAGTTGCATGTTAGCAGTTATACTAATGAACCAGATCCTTTGTTCTTCTTTATTAATGCATATTGGTTTTCCAGATATAATGCTACTTGAAAATTTGCAGCACAGTTGCCTTAATGATTCTAGAAACAACAAATATGGTTGTAAAGACAGAATATTAAACAATTATATGTTATGCAGGTTTCACTGGTGTTGATCAAGTTTATGAGAAGCCAGAGGCACCAGATCTTGTCGTGAAAACTGTTGAGAGCACAGTTGAAGAGAGCATGCTGCAGGTGGTTGAGATGCTGGAAGAACAGGTGAGTGGTGAACACTGATGTCTTGTTGCTCCTTCAATACATGAGTATAGGTTTAAAGTATAACCGGTCCAGAAATGGGTACAGGATTCTTGTGATGCTGTTGGCCCCATTTTGAATGGTGTTGTATAGCAGTTGTGATCACGCTGAGGGAAGATGAATGCAGTACTTTGAAGGTTCTCTTGCAGCGGATAAGACTTATATAACTATTTGCTGTTGGCTGATGGCAGTGCAGAATGTGGTGAAGGGGAACAAGATGCAGGACAGTGCCAGCACAGATTGTAGGCATGTTCAAAATTATATACGTAGGAAATGCACACAATAGATCACTAAAGGTTATGGTGCAAGGACCAGCAGTTGGGCTCACCGCTTGTGTGTGTCTATCAGTCACTTGGGTAAGGAGATATTGAAGCATTGTGAGTGATAATAAGTTAATGCATTTTACAGGGAATTATTCCTACAACTTTACGTTCTTCTGATATTGTAGAAGAACTTTTTGTGCCAGAGAATCGTGTGAAGGCAGCTAAAGAAGAGGCGCAACATTTGCCATCACTGGAGATCACAACAGTTGATTTGCAGTGGGTGCAAGTGCTTGCTGAAGGCTGGGCCACTCCTCTGAAAGGGTTCATGAGAGAAGATCAGTTCTTGCAGGTACTGCTTGTTTTGTTCTCCCAAGTCTGAATTTACAGCAGACAGAGCATGCCACTTTATGTTCAATGTAGGGGACTGTGGGGTTTATATCCTCATATGGCAAGGTTTATACTGAACTTCAGTCTGATTAAATGAATCCAGTCCACATCCTCACATTCTGTTAATTGACATTCATTTTAATATTATTCTCCTTTATTATCCTTTCTCTACTTTCCCAAGTAGTATCTTCCATTCAGGTTTGCAACAAAAATTTTGTGTGAATTTTCCATGTCCCATGTGTTTTGATTGTCTTCAGTTTGATCACCTTAATAATAATTGATGAAGAGCTGACTCTGTGAAGCTCACCTTTGTGCAAATTTCTCCAGACTCCAGTTACTTCCTCTGAAGTCCAGCAAGAGCTGCACCACAGTCTGTGTGTAAGAAGTCCAGCTATAACTCATGACAGAAATTATGTTTATATTTTAATTATAACTGACACTTTCTGAGATCGCAACATTGTACAACTGGAACAAGTAAAAAACCATAACTTGCATGACATATAACTGATTAATATTTCTTTTTTTAGAATCAAGAAGGTAAACTGTATGGGCAATTTTCAGGTAGCATGAAGATTACAATTTCGAATGTGGAAAATAAACTTGCATATGAAATGCCCACAGATGAATAAATATCTTTTTTCACTCTTCAGGTGTATACAGCTGTTAGCTGGGCTTACCAAGGACTATTTTAGTGAGGAATGTTTATGAATGTAAAGATAAGGACTGAGTTATTTCATGTTGGTTATGACATTTCTAAAAGTAAGATAATTTATAACTGTATTTCTATTAACATTCTTTCACATTAATTAACACGTTTTGACTACTTATCCCATCAGAAGTATAACCACAGGTTGTAATTAATTCATAGACTCAGCACTTCAGCTGTCTTCTGGAAGGATCTGGTGTAAATCAGTCTATACCAATAGTGCTTCCTGTCTCATCTGAAGACAAAGAACGATTGGTCGGGTTGTCATCATTTACTCTTTCTTATAATGGTCATTGTGTGGCAATCCTGCGTAAGCCTGAGTTTTATCCTCACCGTAAAGAAGAAAGAGTCTGTAGACAGTTTGGTACATGTCACAGAGACCATCCATATATTAAGGTAAGGTTTGCATGAAAGTAAAATTTACTTTGTCAGAATTGAGTAATTTTTGTTTTGTATTTAATTTAAATTTAATCCTGGTTAAGATTACAGTTTTCTGGAATGTGATGTGCAGTTGGTATATGGGTACTGATGTTGCATAGGAACTTGCTGCCTCCATATTGAGAACAGTAACTGTCTACCAGACTGCACAGAACACTGTAATTTTGATACTCACTGCCAAGAGAACCTCAGGCCTCATATAATTAATTACTCCTGCTTAGAGTATTGTTTTGTGGAATTGGATTTGAAGTGATTTCAGTGGAAGTTTGCCAGATATCATTTAAACAAACATGCATTTTTATGGGCACAGTTCATGTTTTCTGTTCAAATTTAAGGTTGTAAAATGGGCAAAATAATGGAAACTTTGTTAAATTTGCATTACCAGATTTGGTTATTCATTGTAGATGATCTATGAGAGTGGAGATTGGCTGGTGGGTGGTGACATTGAAGTCTTGGAGCGTATACGGTGGGGAGATGGGCTGGATGGCTACAGGCTCACTCCTAATGAGCTCAGAGCTAAATTTAAAGAAATGGGAGCTGATGCTGTGTTTGCTTTCCAGTTGAGAAACCCTGTCCACAACGGACATGCTCTCTTAATGCAGGTATGAGCAAGGAGATAGGGAGGACAAAGCATCTTTACTGTGGTTGTTGTGGTTATGCTGGGTAAGATTGGGGCACAGAAAGAGAGTGCACTGCTGTGAAATTTTTTTAGCAGGATGTGGTCTTTTCATATTTTTGGTTTTTATATAATGTTGGACGTTCACTGTTGTGAATGAATTTTGGAATTATCTGACGGTTACTGTAGGGCCCTTAACTCACTCAGATTATACCTGTTCAGGTGAGTTGGCCCTCTTCCTGACAGGAGATGCAAAGGGGCTGTCAAGTAAGTGTTTCCTTCTTTCACTGTAGCTTGTAACATTTTCTTGCTTCAGTTGTTGGGCAGTGAAGCCATTTGTTGAAGTCCTACTTCTGTGCCTTCTGATTGGGTGCAATCAGCTGATGCATGGTTATTTGTTATGATTTTACCCAGAACATCTCTCTTGATGCTGTGGTTTATCCCTAAATGTTTCATTTATACTTGTAAAATGCCCACAAGATGACTAAGATCATGGTAAATCTCGTTTCCAACTAATGTGTGACATCCTCAGTGTTGGTCACCGACCTAGTTTTGTGGCATTCCTTCATGGCACAAGTGTTGACAAGTTTTAACTTTTCATTCCAGTTGTAGCTTGAGCTGTTGCCAGCTTCTTCTTGTTTAAAGATATTTACTGGCCAATATGCAGGCTGTTTTATTGAGTGTTGGTAACAGAATATTTATTGCTGTTTGTATTGAGCTTTTTGTGAAGTGTTAGACCAGTCTGCAGTCTCACACAGGTCTCTTATTAACTAATTATATACTGGATTTTATAAAGGATTATCCACCCTGATCATCATCCTGATGTGTGCATACAGCCATCAGTGCTGATGCAGCAGCAGCAGCAGCAAATGTCTGGTTGTTTTGATTTTTATATTGTTATCTGAGCAGTCATACACATGTTCACACTTCTCTTTAGGACACTAGGCGACGTCTGTTGGAAGAGAAAGGCTTCAAGAAACCAGTCCTGCTCCTTCATCCTCTGGGAGGCTGGACCAAAGATGATGATGTGCCACTTCCTGTTCGCATTCAGCAACATCAAGCTGTTTTAGAGGAGGGAATTCTTGACCCACAGAGTACTCTTCTTGCCATATTCCCTTCACCCATGCAGTATGCTGGACCTACTGAGGTGATCTTTACATACATTTTTTTAAATTTGCTCAGTGGGGGGTGGAGTCAACTGGGTCCACTTGGCATGGTGGCCAGTGATTGGCCTATTGTAGCCTGCCCCGGGTGATTATGATGATGGAGAATTTGGTGGAATGAAGATTGGCAGGGGAAACCGAAGTACTCGGAGAAAACCCGCCCCAGCGCCACTTTGTCCACCACAAATCCCACTTGACCAGACCCAGGATCGAACCTGGGCCGCCACGGTGGGAAGCCAGCGACTAACCGCTTGAGCTATGACGCGGCCTACATACAAGACTTTACCACTTCATTTGATCTGCCATACACATTCTGAGGTGCAGATAGTTACATGTTTCTATTTTATTTGATAGCCTAACTATACATTGATGTTTCAAATGTATGACAATCTGTGCAGTGCTGTATGGGGCAGGGGACAGAGCTTTTCTGTTATGTACAGTCTGTTTGGTGTGATGTTTTCTGGTTGCAGAGACTCCCAAAGCCTGTTGATACATGACCTTTTGAATTTGGTACAGTAGGCTTCAAAATTCTCATATCACACTTCTTTTCCTTTACATCTCTCTTTTTATTTCTTGTGGGAACAAATGTAGCATTACATTCTGGAGGACTGAAGTAGTCGGTGTCAGCTTGTTTCTCCAAAGTGAAGGGTCATGGGCAAGGTAATCTCACACTGGTTTCAATCTGTTTCTGCACAGGGGCAAGTTGAAAAAGTCTCTCCAATGGTTACAGAAATCTTGAAATATTTATAATTCTCAAATAGCAGCCATTTGTTTCTTGGTTGTGCTAAGAGTTGACCTCTGCATTATCAACTGCCACACTCCCTTAGGCCAGTTATTGTTCAAGGTTTGGTACTGTAAAGATGTATGTGCAGTATTGAAAATTATAATCATATTTTTACCTAATCTTATTTAGCTACTAGATTTTAACTTTTAGCACACATTATTTGAGACATATCCCACACAAAAATTTATAAATTAAAATGTAGACAGATTGTAATAATATTGATAAATGTAAAATATGAATCCATTTTGACATTCAGTAATGACATATTCTTTAAAACCACCTTAATGATCTTTGTAGATCAGAACATCTAGTGAGACAAAAATAAAATAACCTGAATATTAAACATTCTAATTTTTGGTTTATAATCACTTGTGTTGGTGGCCTCATGGAGTACCTTTAATACACGATACACAACAGGATGCAGAAAATAAAAGCAGTGATGTTGTTGGGGTGGGGATGTGAGGTGTTTTGTTTTGCAGGTTTTTCAGCTAAATATTGCAAAAAAAAAATTCACCTGTTAGCTTCACTGAGCTCATTTATCCACCTTTCACCTTATAACAACTTGGGAATTGGTGAATGGATTTTAAGAAGTTTGATGACAGAGTTTTACCATTTGTTGACAGAATTTCTTGTTTTTGTTCTCCACATGTAACAAGACTGGAAATTACTTACTGCTATAATGTACACAGAATTGCCCGTGGCAATTTGAATTATTTAATGAGTGTAATTTTCCCATATAAAATTTCAGCAAGATCTGTTGTTGATGGCAGTAGCGCAGTGGTTAAGGTACTAGGCTACAAGCCGGAAGGTTGTAGGTTCAAATACCGGTGAGAGGTCATTGGATTTTTTTCAATTGACCTAATCTTTCTGGCCGCACTAGGCCCTGGGATTTACTTGGCCTCTAACAGAAATGAGTACCAGGAATTAATTAAAATTATTTTCCTGGGGAGTGAAGCGCGGCCGGTGTGTAAGGCTGACAACCTTACCGCCATCTTTGAGCCGATTGTCAAGGTAATGTGGGACCCTTAACGTCTCACAACCCTATGGGCCTTCGTGGCCTGTTACAGGGATAGCTTTACTTTTTTTTTTCTGTTGTTGAGTTTGTGAGATACGTGGAATACCCATTTGTGGTCACGTGCTACCGTCTTCAAGTACATCGAAGCTGCAAGGCATACAGCCATCTTTGATGTGCTTGTGGTGTGGTATCTGGAATAAAATCTGTATAGACCACAGTGTGGAATATCCATGCATTTTTGTGCAGCAGAATCTGCCCAGCACTTTTTGTTTGTGGTGGTTACCTATATAACCTGTAATATTTGATGCGGGATAATCACTTCCCTTCTTTATATGGTATTTCGTTTACATCTTTTGTCCATCCCATCATCATTCCATTCCTCCCCCCCTTCCTCCTCCAAGTTGAAATGGATTTTATCTTACCTACATTACCTTCATTCCAAACCATACCTCTTATGCAGTTCATCATGCCTTCATTCATCCACTTCTGTCTTTTCTTCTGTATTCCTTTTTAATCCCATTTATTTGCTTGTTATGTCATTCCATATCCTTACATAGGAACAACAGGACACAGTTTTTGGTTTTCCCTGTATCCTACACATGGTAGCATAGCTGGTTGAGGCAGTTTGCTACAAGCTGGAAGGTTGTGGATTCGAGTCCCAATCAGGTGGATTTTTCAGTTTACCTAATCCTTCCAGCCACACTATGACTCTGGGGTCGATTCAGCCTCTAACAGAAATGAGTACCAGGAAACTTCCTGGGGAGTAAATGGCAGCTGGTACCTAAGGCTGAGAACCTTACTGCCATTTGCGAGCTGACTGTCTAGAGAAAATGTGGGAGCCTTGATGTCTCACAACCCTGTGGTCCTTGACAGCCTGTTACAGGGTTAGCTTTACCTTAACTTCTACCTACCATTGATTCCATTGTTGTCATGATCCTGTTGTGACATTCCCAGAGCCTTTCCTGTAGAGCAAATAATTTAGGAATTAGCTGGCTTGGACTCAAATCAATGGGCGTAGCACCAATAATACTCGTATCCCTGGGGTTCTGTCTCCAAGATGATTATATTTTGTTTTTACCAATATTTTCTATGTTGTGCCATTTTATAGAAACGTTGGGACAGATGAACTTTGGTGATTTATTATATATTGTCGTGTATAAGGAGTTAGCATGATGAATAATTGTGGGTTCTAGATTTGCTAATTGCATTTATTCGATACTTACAAATCATAACTACAAGTAACTGTAACATATCAAATAAATTCTTCAACATCTGCTTACCAGTCATTACTTGGTAACACTTCAACTATTGAATACTCCTTGACGTCTGTCGAATGAATCTTGAAGAGTCGAGTCTCTCAAATTCTGGATCTTGATCTCTGCTCTCTCGAACGCTCTCTGGCTGTCTTGAATGTTCGATTAAACTGACTTCATGTTGAACGAATATAGATCACCAAGTTGGACAATTGATTTTCCTCTGTTATTCTCTGTTGCCACAAAATGTATGACACTCTCCGAGCAACATGTTGATTTGTATAAGCGTATTTATTGCTGTGGAAACATGTTTCAGCTAGCCGTTGTCTAGCAACAGATGTCTCTGCTGTGCTTTTCTGACTGCACACTTCGGCGTTCAGGTGTCATTTGAAAATATATATAGGTTATTTTCTTAGTCACTTCAACTTAAATTACACTCCAAACTGTTGCAATGTTTGCTGGTGAGGCATGATTCTGGTCTGTCTTGCATTACAGATACAAAGGTCAGAGCAGATAGCATAAACTGTTCAAAAGTTTTGCTAAATAGTGGGTTCAGAAATGGCCAAAATGAATGGGACTGTAGTTTATTGAATTACATATTTTTCAATGAAAGAATAAGGGCAGTGAAAAGGAGTAGGAAACATTTCTTGAAGTGCATACCCACTCTTAAAAATTCAAACCATTGCCTAAGGCATGAGGGACTCATATTATGATAGGTGCATTTGATTATTGTAGGTACAGTGGCATGCAAAAGCTCGCATGTCTGCTGGTGCCAACTTCTATATAGTGGGTAGAGATCCAGCAGGTTTACCACACCCTGACAAGGACTTGAAATGTGATTTGTATGATGCCACACATGGTGCTCGTGTGCTCAGCATGGCCCCGGGGCTGCATACACTGGAGATCATTCCATTTAGAGTTGCTGCTTATGACAAGACAAGAAGCAAAATGGCTTTCTTTGATCCCCAGAGGAAACAGGATTTTGAGTTCATCTCTGGAACAAAAATGAGAGGTAAGCTAAGATGTATACATAAAAATATGTGTGGAATTTGAGCTACTGTTTTATGAGCAGTATTGCCTGAAGTGCCTACAGGACTGACTGAAATGATATCCAGAACAGTAATTTTAAAATGATAAGTTGGTCTGTATTACAGTGAGTGAAATGACCTCAGAGGGGGACAAACTAATGGAGGAGATTGACTGTCGTGGAAATTCCACTGTATACAAAATCATGCCATATTGTGTGTCTATTGCACTATTTCATACCAGTCAGTCAGATTTTCAGTGTAATGGAACTGAGTTTATTTATGCAAATGACGGATGCATGTTGCAATACGGTTGTGGTCTTTGAGTTGTGAAGCATGTAATGTCTGTGATTGAATGCAATTTTGATTACATCTGGTAATGCTAGTCTATACAGTAAAGTATCTTCTGATGGCTGTGTGTGTGGTAGGGGCTGGACGACTGAGGGGTTGGAGTTTGAGTTCCGGTAGGGTCAGAATTTTCTTTTCTTCATATCATCCAGACCGGCTCTGGGGCCCATGCAGCTTACTATCCAGTGGGTACTGGGGACTCTCTCCATGGGTTAAAGTGGTAGGGGCGTGAAGCTGACCACTCACCTCCAGCTAGTGCCAAGGTCAAGAAAATGTGGATCTATACATCCACTCCCCCATATGCCTACATTGCATAGTGCTTAATTAGTTAAGGACAGGGACAACTTTTACCTTTGTTTTACCTCTGATGGTGGTGTCGTGCTAGCCAAACATGAGCATGTAATACTGGAATTATTTATTGCATTGCAGGACTACCGAAAGTTATATAGTTCTTGTTTATGATGGTAAAAAACTGTGTAGGAAAATACTGGTGTCTCTTGATGCTGTTGCTGAACTCTGCCAGTAACTTCATAAAAGCAAAACCACATGTCACACGTGCTCAGTCGCATACAGAGACTGATAGTATGGCAATCTCGTAAGGCCACGTTCTCCCTCTTTAGGGTGGAAAGTAGACTGAAGTGAAACACCAAGATAATATGCCATAGTGTGTTTTCCTGTCTTCCAAAGAATGAAATTAACATGTGACAAAGAATACTTTCCTTTTAACATTTTTACAGTGGTATATGCCTATGTACAGGGAGGTCTTAGGTATCTTTCTTGTCTGATGAATCTGGTGCTATCTGCCCAATTTTGTTGCCTCATAATTACAAGAAAATGGGACAAACTGCATGTAGAATTACAGTCTGAGACTGTTTGCTTATCATTCTTAATTTACATGTCCAGTAGGACATTTTATGTCAAACTGAGCATCTTATCTCTTGTAATGTTCTTTCTAGGCTTAGCTCGATCTGGGCAGCTGCCCCCTGATGGCTTTATGTCACCAAGAGCCTGGAAGGTTCTTTCAGGATACTACCAGTCTCTGTTCAGTACATAGGTAAATGTGTGAAAACATTCATATACTGGCAATTATGGAAGCGAAGGAAAGAAGTTTGAGGTTTTCACATTGGTGAAGATGCATATGGTGGTCTTCCAAGTTATGATGCAATGTAGTCTCCTCGTTGTGTTCTTGTTGGCCACCTTGACCCTACATTCCTCAGATTTTCCAATTCATGACTCTGTTTCTGGAATGGCCAGTCGAAGCCATGCTTGAGGCTGTTTCCTTCTCCTGTCTTGTACACACACACAAAAAAAAAAACAGTTTTGCACCTTCACTCATTTCTTGTCCAAACATGAAGGCAGTATCTTTCTCTGAAATATTGGTGTCCCTGTATCAGACAGAGTATGTTGTGTCATAACCAAAATTCCATAGTATGAAGAAATAAAGAGGAAAATGTGAATGTATTTGTTGTTATAAGAAGTACATATATGAAATTCTACGTACAGATTAAAAAATGTTTGTATATAATGAAGGGGACCTGGGATAACTCACTTGGTATAGTGATGGGCTGTGGGCTGGATGGCCAGGGTTCAATTCCTGGCAGGAGCAAGAATATTTTTCTTCCTCACATTGTCCAGGCTAGCTCTGGGGCCCACACAGCCTTGTGTTCAGTTGGTATGGGGCACTTAATAATTAATTATTAATTCAGCACAGGGACAACTTTACATTCATATGCAATGAAGGTTTTAGGCTACAGTACTGTCTGTTTGTTATAGCGATTTTTATTTTATTTGGTATACAGTGATTCTGTTTGTTCTTTCATATGTTTAGATTTTATTTCTAATTAAATGTAGCCTACAATGAATATGTATTATATACATTGTAAGTTAATTAATTCACTGTACATTGTCAAATAATTGCAGCTAAAGAAACAATGCATAAGTTAGGGAAATGATGTATAAATTACAAAAGAAATCACTTTATTACATAAATATGCTAAGTATACTTACATCATAGACAGTCTGCACTACAAAAGTGATTACATTTGGAACTGAAGCAATGTGGCAAGGTGCAGTGAAATGTGTGTTTAGTTTTGTTCATTCTGCCATTATCTTATTATGTATGTTGACATGATTTGTCACCTTTTGAATATTTTGAGCACTCACATTAAGAGACGGCAATTTTCTTGGCTGTTAGTAAAGTAACAATAATTTATATTGCACAATATGAATGCAGATGTCACATAATATTTAGACTCTCAGCATAATAAACATGCTGCTAATCACTAACCCAGTGTAAATAATGATTAAAACAGAGCACAAAATATCTGTGTTGGCAAAAGCAGTATTTTGATTCTGAGATTGCCTGAACATAGTTCAAATACTGCCATTTTGTCCATTCATTGTTATTGCTTGTATTTGTATACCAAGCAGCTTCAGGAGTTGATGCAGCAGTATTAAAAATTGATACACCAATATGAATTATTATTTACTAGGTGTGTAATTGCAAAAATTTCTGAGGTTATTTGTGTGTGTATAAGTAATTTGCCAGTGATGTCACAGACTTCATGGAATTGATGATGTCGGCTATTATCATGTGATCAACATAGCATAATATACAAGTAATACACTATTGGCCTCTACTGAGGGGTTTCACAACATACAGTACCTGTGTCATGGGCAACATCTGACAGTCAGTTATTCCTTTAATCACACTGCTAGAGCTGGTTATGGGATAATTTGTGTTATTGACATTTTGTATGTTATCTATGCATATTATGAACATGTAGGAGGTTGTACCAAAATGTGGATGGTAACTTGCCAGAGGCAGACTCTGTAGTCTCAAGCAAATCAAAGAACTGGTTTTTAGGGGGAAAAAAAAAGTTTGTATGTAATGTTAAAGATACTATGATTATAGTTTATATGTAGAGTTTTAAGTCACCTAAAAACATGTATTTCCACATTTTTAATGCACATAGGTATTTTGGGTATAGAAATAAAATTGAATAATAAATGTATTAGAGAATGGATGAATTAATAAATATTTCACATGTCATCACAGTGTATTGACAGAAAGTTTATATGAACAATATGTCCGGTAAGTACTCTTCTTCGTATTGATGCTGGAATCCATTGGAGTAACAAATTTAAGGGGGGGGGAGGGTTTGTAGTACTCCACTACAGGAGAGGTAATGGCCTGCACCCTATGCACTAAAGAGTTACACACCTAACACTTACCTAAAGCTAGTTCATAAAATGTATACATCTTGTAGGAAACTTCCATAGAGTTTGCTGGTGTAACAGGGTTGGAAAGGTGTGGTTTGTACTCAAGTCTGTACATTTATTCTGTGTATGTTCTTTGAAATTTCGCATTCTCATTGCTTCTTGCTTTTCAGAATAACTTTCTTCTTCACTAGCCCAGCACTCACTCTGTGCAAGTCTGATTATAGTATATTCAATCCTATTTGCTCCCCATGACAAAACTCCTGTTAAGAGTGTGTATACTTTGGTGACAATGCAAAACTTCTGACAGAATAGACACAAACTTTTGGGTATAATTTTTGATAGGATTGTGTCAGTATTCAAAGTTATTTTTCTCTCACATGCTAAATAATGTGAAGTGAGTGAAACTTATGCAAGGTAAATGTTGGTGTGTAAGTGGCACTAAAGTGAATGGAATTTAAGAATTTTAATGAATATGTTGTCAAGGGACCTAAAGGCATGCAATCATTAAGCCCATTAGCAAAGTTGTTATTAAGATTATAAGCCTTGAACCAAAATTAGATGGTTCAGACAAAATTTAATGTACTCTTTGAAGAGTTGTTAAGGGAAGCAATTCTATTCATGTTTCCAGACGTGGATATTCAAAGATTTCATAAGGGCATGGGTATGTATGGGTGACTACTAGATGGGGTTTGGATTGGATATTTGGTTTATTGATCGCCTACCGGTTGTACCACAAACAACCGTAAGACTACTGCTATTTCCACACTTTACAGTTCACTGTAACACACAGTAGTATCCTCGGTCTATTATAGTCTCCACTAGCTATTTCCTGCCAGTGGATTTTAATGCAGGAACTGTAACAGTCTCACTGAATTGCACACTCCAAATATCACTGCGCTACAGTTGTAGTACTTCATAGTCTCGCTTACAGAACTCCCTAACTAGCTCCCAGGCTGATGGCCATTTCACATCAACCTCCAAGTCTCCTGTCTTCATAGCCTGTCAACTGAGCACTGAACTTCCAACAATACTTATGTTGTCAGGCATACATCCATTACAACTGGCATTACCTAACAATTTCAGGTGTATACAGAGTCACCTCTTTGCGTGGGTCTATATGCCACAATATTTCTGTTGCAGATTTCTTGTTCTAGAGTAGAACTTGACCTTGTAAGTGTTGCATCATGCTGAGTGTTGTTACATCCTCCCTCTGTAAGATGTATGAGGGAAGCTGAGTGTAGATGGAGGTGAGTGGTCAGCTCTGGAGATTTGACCTCCATGAAGGTAGACTCCAGGTCCCACTGGACTGGACTGCAGATGAGCCCCTTAACATCGTCTGATGCTAACCCTCCCATTCATCCATGACTTGTCATGCCTCTCAAAGAGGCCGACAAATCCCACAATGGTGTTTGATGTCCTCTGTGCAATGTAGTTGAGATCATTTTCAATTGAATAATGATAGTTTCTATCCAGGCTCTTTCCTGGTCCTCCCACTATAATAATATGATCTTGCTTGGTAAGGTCTTTACCAAGCTTCCCTATATCAACAACCTTTGCAAGAGGAGAATTTGGTCTGAAAATGCTACATATGGAAAATTTGTTTCCCAGATTTTCTTGAAGCATGGGGCCAATTTCCCTGCCATGACTATTTCCCAGTAATAAGATCTTTCTTTTATGTTTATTTTTCTCTGTCCACATTGTGATAGATTTTAGTTCTCTGCCTTTATGCTTCAACAAAACTGGGGTTTGCTGACCCAATTCTATTGCATCTGTTTCTAGTACACTGAATTCATTGTTCAGCTGAACCTAACTAGCATCTTTTGCAGAGAACCTATGGAACCTGGACTTGAATTCCCCCCCCCCAGATTTCCTGAATTATCCTGCTGCATGAAGTTACTGCTGACATTCCCTCCTTTCAGCTTACAAATTTCCTCTATAGCTGCCTTTAATTTTTTTTCCAGGTGTCTCATTCTCTCCTGCTGCTTCACATATTTCTGGTACTTACATGGGATACAATACCATGTGACAGTGAATCAAATTTATGCTGTGGTGATGGTGGACTGCTTTGGCAGATTCAAGCACTACCCAATCCCTGAATTACTTAAGTAACATACATTACATCCCCATATTTAGCAACTATTGATATTTAACGGTAAGATTTGATTGAAATTCTGTAAATTACGGTAATTTCAGTGCGTACATATACAGACTAATTCGTTAAATCCCTCTGGAAATTCCAAACTCGGAGTGCAGAACTACCAACATCTCCCTGGTCATCTGTTTCAAACGGTATAACCTGTATAACCTCAAACACGCCATTTTGGGACTACAACGTATCTAGCGGTTCAAATTACTCAATAATTCTACGTTTTCCCACTGGAGGTCAGTAAAATCGATAAAATAATTGTGGCCTATTTTTGCTTCTAAACTTTGCGACATTTCATTCTTATTATATTCAGAAAAAAATTCCTACTTTTAGAATTTCTCCACGTATATATAAGATTTTGAAAGTACAAAGTGGATGGTTGAGGAATTGGTTTTAATTCCACATTCTGACACTGGAGAGCAGCGAAGGCGCTACAGTAATCGTGCAATATTTATTTTTATTTCTATGTTTTGAGCATAATTTCTTTGATCATTAAAAACTGCAGATCGCTGCAGATTGCTGCAGACGCTGAATAGGGTGCATATTGTAGACTTTTCACTGACGACAACTTTTTGGGTGGACGTTGGAGCTAAACGTTAATTGCATGTTGCAGCGTTTTTAAGTAAACTATGATCATTGTGACCATTGTGACCATTGTGACGGCGGGAAGCATTCTGTGAAAACATGAGAAAAAACAGTAATACAAGAATTGTTGGGAAACATGTAATATTGGTGCCTTACAAGACAGAACATGTTCCGAAGTACATATTTGAATTGTCAAAAACATCATTGAGGGTACGTCATAGCTAGTCATAGATACTGTAGGCAAACTTAAGGAAGACATGTCATATATATACTTGTATACACAGCGATATCACCGGTATGGCGATTTTGGTTCCTATTTTATACAATTTCTTTATTAAAACCGTCACAACATAACGGTATTAAGGTCAGTGCCAAGTTTGGCTCTGCTACATGTTTCGTCTATTAAAAGCCATCATCAGGCAAATACATGGCTAACATATACACACCGCTGAACTGCAGTACAAGTAAAATTGGGTACAATAATTATATTATATTAAAATACTTGGCGTAAAAGTACAATAAATTAGATTATATAAAACGAAAGTTATAGTATAAAACAAGAATAAAATCGAGTGATGCTTTACATCGTCGAGTTAGTTGTCGGTTTTTGTGATTTTATTGTGTTCCCACGGACAAATTGGAGTATTATATATTTTGTGTATATACAATAAACTGTTTTTAAGGCTCGTGATGTAGATGTAGTAATGTTAATGTTAATTATTTAGTCGGTGCCTCATCTCACGAAGTATTGTCTCTTCTGTAGGGAATGTAAACAAAGACTTACAATAGCCGAAACATGTAGCAGAGCCAAACTTGGCACTGACCTTACTATAGTTGTGTTGTGACGATTTTAATAAATAAATTGTATATTATAACACAACAGGATGCATGAAATTAAAAAAAAATCCTATTTTATGTTGAAAAATAGAAACTAGTAACTTTGTAATTGTGACATGATGTTCAGTATGTGATGCACCCTCAAAGATATTTTAGACATGGTTTAATTGTGTTTTATGTAGAGACATTTCATGGTTTTTATTACATGTGAAAGAAAATTTGCACTGCTCTAACATTCCCTGTGAACATGCTCAGTTGTGCCTCATCTGCATATTGCTGTGATTCTGCATGGCTGCAGATGGTGCTTGCACTGATATGCATTGAGGTTGTGAGAAAGTGTTGAGAGTTTGTCCAGTTATTAAAAAATGCTCTGCTTAGGTTCATATTTTCTATTCCTGGCAGGGGCAAGACATTTTTCTCTTCTTCACAATGTCTAGCTTGGCTCTGGGGTCCACCCAGCCTGCTCTCCAATGGGTACCAGGGCCTCTGTCCCCTGCGGTAGAGTGGCAGGGTCAACAGTGTCTAGCTTGGCTCTGGGGCCCACTCAGCCTGCTCTCCGATGGGTACCAGGACCTTTGTCCCAGGGGGTAAAGTGGGAGGGTCGTGAAGTAAACCACTTACCTCGATCTAGTGCTGAGGTCAATAATGGTGGAGCTATACCTCCACTCCTCCATATGTCCTCATGGCATAGTGATAAATTACTTAATTAAGTGCAGGGAAAATTTTACCTTTCCCGTACCTTTGTGTCATATTTTACAAGTTACTGCATCTTGAAACAAGGAAGTTCTTTTTTGATGACTGCACTTTAACAGACAATAAGCATTATTGTTAAGAGAAATGATATGGCATTTGACTTTAACGTTTGAAGTGCATGTGTCAGTACACTGAAAGGTACAGTCACCATGGCCAAAGTACACATATTCCTGCATTTAAACATCACAAGTACAAATGTGTGCATGCCGCTAGTAGAAGTTATTTTTTAATATAGTAAAATTTAATGTATTGTGACATGTTGACCCCTACCTCCCCAGCTGCACGTAGCTGTAACATAGCGCTTGCGTAATAGGCGAGTAATCACCCCGCATCCTGGTAGCTAGGCAACGCGCAACACGCGGTGACGTCAGTGAGGGATATCGCGGTTACTAGGCAGCCGTCAACAACTCCGGACAGCGTGGCTAGCAACAAGGCACCAGGCGACAACTGTCCGATCGAGGCTACATAAGGAGCAGCGAAGGCTATTCACAGTTAGTTGAAACATAGCAGCCTGTGAGTGTGCGATAACTAAGAAGTCAGCGAGCGGAAGACTTATTTATTGTGTGCTTTCGAGACATAGTGAGTGCTGTAGTACAGTTATACTCGGAGTGTGTATTTCAGGGAGACTTGTATAGCTCCTGCGTTATTAATACTTGAAGACTCTTGAAGACAGTGTTAAGAGATTTTGTTGTAGGGTTTGTAAACTGTGGAAACCCGTAACGTTGTGATAATTAAGTGTAGCCGATAGTTGTAGATTGTTCAATAAACCAGTTAACAATCTCTACGGCGTATTCAGTAACGAAACACGTTACAGTATGTACCTCTTTTTTTTTTTTGGTAATCTTCTTGATGTACATATAGGCTGCACCCCCGTCATATAACTGACTCAAACCTTTGTATGGTACTCCTCGAAGCGCTTACAATTATTTAAAACACAAAGGAAATATCATAAGGGGAGGAATAGTTCATTATGAGAATTATGCTGGGCACCTGTACTGTACACACGTCATTTTCTTATTACATATGTTAACATGCATTTTTTTAAGGTACCATGGCTGGATGAAGTCACCCGAACTGCAACAGTTGACTGCATCTGAACCGTTGTCTCTTGAGGAAGAGTATGAAATGCAGAGCAGTTGGTTGATGGATGAAGACAGTGAGTTAATCACATAAGCGTCTTTTACGTACTAAGGCATCAGGTTAGCTGTTCAGAAGTTTTTTGGAATTCATTCCACAGTAATAGAGGACTCCTTATGTTGAAGTCATTTATGGCACAGTATCAGGACCTAAACCACAAGACAAGTTTCCTAAAAGTTTAGGAGACGCTCACTAAACACTGCTGGAGAGTTTGAGCTTTCAGTCACTATCACGGCATAATATAGCCTGGTTTGCGGAAGATCATAAGTGGGCTTTTCATGTGATTTGATAACTTCATACAGAAGATTTTCAGTAAATGTAATTAAGCAATTCCAATTTTCAGCCCATAATAAAGCCTGTTTATTTATAATTGTAAATAGACTTTTCTATGTATCCTATAAGCTATCACAAGTTCTACTGAAATTAATTTGGGGAGCCTTTCACTGAAAGTTGTAATGTGCTTCTGATTCTCCTGTGTATTAATAAACACTGGTTTACTTATAGTCATAAATGGACTGCTGACATATCCTGTAAACCCTTACACAGATTTTGTTTCATCTGAGATGGGAGATTTTGACTAATGTGCATTTTATTATGCTTATTCTTAAGTAAGCTTAATTTACTGTGAAGAACATTGTTGGTAATATTGTCATGATTAAGGGCTGTACGTGACTTGTAGATGGGGTTTTAGATTGGATGATTGGATTGTCACCATATTCACACAATTCGGGACTGCAGGCAGTACAGTGCTGTCACTGAGCTACACAGTTTACAGTTCACCATTACACACGCACTAGGGTTCTCAGTCTTCACCAGCTGTATCCTGACAACGGATTTCATAACAGTCTCACAGTCATTTCAAATCACACATGAACTCTTCTCTTCACAGCCTAATTCCCTTCTTCCCTTTTCTTCTCAATCATCTTTGACTACTTAATTTCTCAGTTCTATCTCCAGCTGCTCCCAAGCTCATATCCTGGCAGGCATGTTTACGATGGTGTTGCATAGCAACAGAAGTTAGCGTACTGTTGCTTGCATATTCGTTGCTGCGGGAATGTTTTTATTGAGTCTTTGTCTATCAATGAACTTGTATTCTGACTTCACTCTCCCAGTTTCTGGGAATCATGTCACAATATTTTGTACTACATTGTACTCTTTACAGTTTTGTATATAAACTTTAAATTTTCATATAAAATGAACGATTTTGAGAATATTACATTGTTCTGGCAATACTATTTGGACTGACATATTTTTATTTCATTGTTTAGCAGAAGCAGTGCAGATAGGTTTATTTGCTTGGGTGTAGTGTATGGCATTCAGAATGAAACTCTCACAGCTTGAGATAAAGGTAGTCATTTGATATGCCATCAGTGCACATCATCTTTTACTCTTCTTATAAATGTTTCCAGTCCAGAATACTCCTTATTTATTGCTTAAACCAGTTTATGTTGAAATACTTAATTCCACTTATGATATGTTTATAATGTTTGTCTGGATCTTGACTTCAGTTTTAGTTCACTACTATTACACTTGCACACTCCCCCCCCCCCAGACTGAGTATCAGTTCACAGACCAGATACTGTGTTTGAGGTTTTCAAGATTTTTACTTAGTTCCTGTAGGTATAAGAGCTAGGATATCTCATTTGATATAATGATGGGCTACAGGATGGATGGTTGAGGAACTGGGTTCAATCCTTGGAGATTTTACTTCTCTCTCTCTCTCTTGCTCTGCAGCATCCAGATCAGCAGCCCTGGTGCCTACCAAGCTTCCTATGCAATGTATATGAGGGACTCTTTTCCTGGGGTAAAGTGACTGGGATGTGAAGCTGACAGTTTACCTCCATCTAGTGCTGGGGTCAAGAATATAAGAGCTATACTGCCACTTTCCATTCATCTTCATGGCTGGATGCTTAATTAGTTATGCACAGGGTCAACTTTACCTTTACCTGAAGGCATATGTTGTGTTTGTACCTTAACCTTATGGTATGTTTGAGCAGGCTGTGGTAGCAGTAATGCTTCAGGTGTTTTTCATTTCAAATCTCAGCTGGGGTACCAACTATCCTGACTGAAACTTGTCATGGTTTTCCTCAGTATCTTGCAGGCAAATTGCAGGGATGGTACCTTCATTAGGTCATGACTATTTTGATTGGAATCCTCTCCCATTCGCTGTGCACCAATCTTTATACAATTTGATGCCCTGCAGTGTGAAATACTCACAGCATTATGAAATAAACCAAAAACCTGTGGCATATTGCTTGATTTAGTTTCCTTGGAGCACACTGTACTTCCAATTAGTCATGCTAATTGAAGCAAAAATGCGTGAATAATGAAAAAACTGTATAATCCATGGTTTTAGTGTAATCAGGGGACCATACCATGGTGAAATACATAAATTTAGAAATGTACTCATAGTGTTCACCAGATTTCATGAAAACCCATCCAACAGTTCTTAAGTTGAAGAAAGCAGTCTTCTGGGATTTGGCACCATGTATATGTGGTGTTAACCGACGTTTTGGAGGAACGTATCGCCTCCATCTTCAGGGTAGAAGGAAAAATATAAGAAATCCACTTGTACCGGTTCTCACGGTCCCTTTGCCTGTGGATTTCTTATATTTTTCCTTCTACCCTGAAGACGGAGGCGATACGTTCCTCCGAAACGTCAGTTAACACCACATATACATGGTGCCAAATCCCAGAAGACTGCTTTCTTCATAGTCAGCACCGTGAAAACCTCAAATCTTACATAGTTCTTAAGTTGCTTCATGTCTACAAATGGATGGACAGACAGGCTTACTGAGCAAACATAATAGGTGTTCCACAGTGTTCCAGAGACTCCCTAAGAGTGGCACAGATAGGTTTCAAGCCACATAATCCATTCAAAGATAATTGGGAATAGATTTTATCTGTAAAAATTAGTTCATAGACTTCAAAGTAAATGCCACAGTTTTGTTATAAAACGTTTGCATGTGTATATTGAATCTGCTGTTCAATAATTATTTGAATCTATCTGGTGATGTTTTGTTATAAATGTAGCCAGTGCCACCCTAACATTTGAATATCTGGCTGTAGTAAAAGCATACCACAACCACTTCTTTCTATACCCTTCCCAATACATTGTTCACAGCATTCAATGCTATATGGCCTGTGTAGTTGAGAAATTGTCATAAAATGAATATGCTTTAATGAAACATTTAAAAATTGACTGTCCACCACCACTGATTGAATTACTATGATCATTTCTGTGCTCAGGTTGTCTTGTTATAGCATTGACTCGTATCATTACAGAGTGTACCTTCATCATTCTAGAAAAGTCTGCATTTGAAAACACAGGAGATGAAATTGGTAAGTTATATCTTGCCATATGTATCACAGTTTTGTTCATACTGTCACATGTATGGAGTGATTATAGATGGTGTTTGGATTGGTAATTGAATTTATTGTATACTTTTAACATACAACTCATGACTACACTTTACAAATCATTTTCACACACAGACTGGTGTTCTCAGTCCATTAGAGTCTCTGATAGCCGTTGCTTGGTAGCGGCTTCCAACGGCAGATATTCTGCTTCCTCTGGGTTCCCAAACTGACCCTGGCCTCAGCTACAAGCTGCTAACTGCAACAGCTCACAAGGACTGAAAAACAGCAGTTCTCTAACTCACTCACTCATTCACAACGAACTCCTCACTCATCCTGCTTATAACATCTCGGCACGGACCACATAGAAAAACTGCTTCTCTGTTGGCATTGCTTTTGTTGCCATGGAATTGTTGTGTTTGTGTGTGTTAGTGGTGCCCTTACCTGCCAACAGATGTTGTATAGTCGCATATTTCGCAGTCATTGTCTAGCAATGGGTCTACAAGCCACAATAATTATATTATAATTGTACAGCCTGCTTATGTCAGTACCAGTTAGAGGTTTTTTGGTTTTAAAAATCCAAAGAAAAATTTAAAATTTAATGTTAGGAATGCTCACTTAAAGAGATTTCATGCATTAACCCCTTGAGCGTGACTTTTAGCGGAGCCATTTAAATCCCTAAGCGTGTGCGACGCACCGTCTGTGGCCACTCAAAGCCGTGCTGTAAGCGTGCGCACCGCATATATTGCGTCCAAACTTTTTACTAAGAATTCTTAACGCCTACGCTCTGATGTGTGTACTTCCAGTGAATGTATATGTCAGCTAACACTGACTTCTTTCATTCCTGCTATCTGTTTGTGTGTGGTAATTTTTTACTAGCTTTGCTTGCGACAAAGCATCTGTTGTCTGCTGCTTACGAAAGAATTGTTCCAACTCACACTCCGACTTGCTTACAGAGAGATAATTTGTTAGCTAACTTTCATTGAGTGCTTGTTATCTGTGTGTGTATTTCATTTTACCGGCTTGGCTTGGCTTACTGGCGACAAAGAAGCTGTGTCTGATTTACGATGTTACGAACCTCGAGGTCGAAGTTGCCTGACGCCTGTGTCAACATTTATGAATCTGTTATTCCTTTTCTGCTTTGCGACACCCTCCTATCGGAGCCCCATGGCATTTGGTCACGTAACTTGTCTGGCGGGACAGTTTCTTGCCCCGACGCTAATAAAATAGCGCTTTCAAAAGTGGGTTCCCATAACTTCGAATGAAATTAGGATATTCCTAGGTTTCCTTATGCTGATGGGAATAATTCAGAAACCAAACCTCAGGATGTATTTTAGTAGGAAACAT